AGCAATATATCTGCTATAGCGTGGTCGGCAAATGGTTAATGAGGAAGGTGACCTAGAACCCAATGGTCATTCTGACTGAGCTCCAGAGATCCTGTGTGGAGATGGGACAGCCATCACTGCAGCCCTCCACTGATCTGCAGTTCACCACAGAGTGGCTAGATGGAAGCCTCTCTTCAGTGCAAAAAAGTGTAGATTCATGAGAAACATTAATTCAAACAACTGTAGCATCATGCTACAAAATATAATTGAATAAAGTGAAGGGGGTCAGAATGCTTTCTGAATGCACTGTATAGAAAAGTAAAGATCATTCTGTTACCCAGAGTCCTCCAGTCGAGCTTTATTAGTGTAGGGTGAACTTTACCTTTAATTCATCTTTTGAAGCAGTAATTTTCAGATCGTTTTCAGTAGCACTGTATCCACAATATTTAGTTACTTTTTGATAATAAACTTTTGTAGTCCTGTCACGTGAATGATCTTGTTATGTATCTGGTGTTGGACTAGGTATGAGTAATGGGAAAATGATCTACGTATGAGATAAATGTTGTAATGATTGACTAGAACTGACGTGTCCAAATGTTTACGTGGACAATAAACTTTAACAGAGGTTCTGTTTTTAGTGTGACGACAGAATTAAGAAATCTCCAGAATTTTAGCGTATTACTTTGTCGCTTAATTAGTGATCTTGTGGGAGCTTTTTTGCTACTAACTACTAACAATGGTGGCAGGTTATTCAAGGGCAGCAACTGTGTAAAAAAGTTAACGTGTCATTATCTGTTCTATATACTGGTCAAAAAATTTAAAGTAACACTTTTTAATCAGAGTATAACATCAAGTCAATTAAACACCTGGGATATTGATCTGGTCAGTTAAGTAGCAGAGGGGGTTGTTAATCAGTTTCAGCTGCTTTGGTGTTAATGAAATTACCAACAGATGCACTAGATGGACAACAATGAGATGACCCCCCAAAACAGGAATGGTTTTACAGGTAGCCAATTACTTTTTTTTTCCCTACTCATCTTTTCTGACTGTTTTTCACTAGTTTTGCATTTGGCTAGGGTCAGTGTCACTACTGGTAGCATGAGGCGATACCTGGACCCTACAGAGGTTGCACAGGCAGTCGAACTCCTCCAGAATGGCACATCAATACGTGCCATTGCCAGAAGGTTTGCCTTGCCTCCCAGCACAGTCTGAAGAGCATGGAGGAGATTCCAGGAGTCAGGCAGGTCCTTAACCCATCAGCAGGACTGGTATCTGCTGCTTTGTGCAAAGGAGGAACAGGATGAGCGCTGCCAGAGCCCTACAAAATGACCTCCAGCAGGCCACTGATGTGAATGTCTCTGACCAAACAATCAGAAACAGACTTCATGAGGGTGCCTGAGTGCCCGACATCCTCTAGTGGGTCCTGTGCTCACTGCCCAGCACCATAGAGCTCGATTGGCATTTTCCATTGAACACCAGAATTGGCAGGTCCGCCACTGGCGCCCTGTGCTTTTCACAGATGAGAGCAGGTTCACTTTGAGCACATGTGACAGATGTGAAAGGGTCTGGAGAAGCCGTGAAGAACGTTATGCTGCCTGTAACATCGTTCAGCATGAACAAAGTTTTGGTGGTGGGTCAGTGATGGTCTGGGGAGGCAAATCCATGGAGTGACACACAGACATTTGCAAGCTAGACAATGGCACCTTGACTCCCATTAGGTATTGGAATATAATCCTTGGACCCATTGTCAGACCCTATGCTTGTGCAGTGGGTCCTGGGTTTTCTCCTGGTGCATGACAATGCCCGGCTTCATGTGGTGAGAGTATGCAGGCAGTTCCAGGAGGATGAAGGAATTGATGCCTTTGAATGGCCCCCACACTCGCCTGACCCAAATCCTATAGAACACCTCTGGGATATCATGTTTCGGTCCATCCAACGCCGCCACGTTGCACCTCAGACTGTGCAGGAGCTCAGTGATACCTTGGGCCAGATCTGGGAGGAAATACCCCAGGACACCATCTGTTGTCTCACTAGGAGCATGCCCCAACATTATCAGACATGCAAATAAGCACATGGGGGCCATACAAACTACTGAGTACTATTTTGAGTTGCTGCAATGAAATATCAGAAAAATGGACTAGCCTGATGCATAATTTTTTTCCCTTTGATTTTTGAGGTGTCTTTCAAATTCAGTCTATAGGTTGATAATTTTTATTTCCATCAAACGATCCTGAGCTTTTCACTGCGTTTGCAACCTGCGTTTGGGGTGTCGTTAACTGCAGTGCATTTTAAACAAAGTTCAGGAAATGAGTGTGCAACAGTGGTTTCCGCAACCGCGTCCTGTTGTGAACAGGGCCTTAGAGTGGAACTCAACTGTATCTGAGCACTACAAAATGAAACCATGATTTAATTAATTTTTAATGAATTAAACAAACTCACTCATCCATCCATGTCTCCATGCTTTATTTTGTTGAAATCACTTTAAACTTCAGCATAAATTTAGGGGTGTTTGTCAAAGAATAGGTTCACCATTTGGGAAAAAAAATAATAAATGCACATGTATTTTTGCAGGGAAAAAATTTTGCATAGAGGTGAAACTCAAAAAATTAGAATATCGTGCATTTATTTCAGTAACGCAACTTAAAAGGTGAAACTAATATATGAGAGAGACTCATTACATGCAAAGCAAGATAGTTCAAGCCGTGATTTGTCATAATTGTGATGATTGTGGCTTACAGCTCATGAAAACCCCAAATCCACAATCTCAGAAAATTAGAATATTACATGCAATCAATAAAACAAAGATTGTACATAAAACAATATCAGTGCATGTAATGAGTCTATCTCGTATAATAGTTTCACCTTTTAAGTTACATTACTGAAATAAATGAACTTTTGCACGATATTCTAATTTGTTTCGAGTTTCACCTGTATATTGTTTCTTCCCTAAGGAACCTGGAAAGCATTGCACCAGTGATCAGTGGATCGGTCTCCTACAGATAAGCCCTGCAGCTTTCATCCTATACCTTCATATGGGATGACTGTTTACAGGGCTTGTGAATGAACTGAGGTCGCTCATCAGCGACCCTCTAGTCCATTCAGTGCTACAAGCCACCAGCCACAAAGGCTGATGGTAGTTGTAGTTTGTGCATTCACAGGAAGTTTTTTCAAACAACGAAAGAGAGTGCAGGGAAAAGTTTCCTGCTTGCTGGTACAGGGATAGGGGGAGAGGCTGCAGCTGCTGCAACATGTCACATGTTCCACACTAAATACGGGTGGAACATGTAACATATTGAAAAAGGTGAGCTTATATTTTAAAGCTTATCACTTTGTAAAATAACCCATTCATTTTCAAAATAGAAATGAAAGGAAAATATATAGATATTAAAAAAAATTATAAATGGCTTTTTTTTTTTTCCTTTTTTTTTCTTTTTTTTTGTGATTGATCATATAATCTCTGTTCTCAGCTGCTTGACGGGATTACAAAGCTAGGGGTGAAGAAGTAGCAGTACACTGATCTTCCCAGTGAATGGCTGCGCAAGAGGGGCATGCCAGCATTTCCCAGGTTCCTCATTTTTCCCCTCATTTGCATGCTAATTACATTTTTCAGTTTTCATTATATACTTTATATTTGAACTAGTAATGTCATTACCATGTCACAGCACCCTGCTCTATGGCTCCTCACAAAAGCTGTTGGTCCTGATGCAAGTAAAGGACTAGCATTTGTAAAGAGTTATGCAAATAGCAAAATGCCTTGATGGGCTTAAAATTCTAAGAATGTGGTGCCTACTCCTATATATGTGTCCCAAAAAATAAACCAGCAACGTAAAATTCTCTGGTATAAAATGCTCTACCAGTGCCTAAATAATATCTTAGAAAAATAATTTATACATATAAAGCGCAAGTGCCAACAATCTTCTCCATAGGATTATATATTGTGCAATAACTCTACTGGGGGTTGATGCCATGATTCCAGTGCTGCAAGTTCATTACTAGTTAATAATGTGACATCCCGGGTGACGTCACCGGTTGGCCCCGCCCCTTAGACATTTAAGAACTGTAAGGCCAGCGGAGCTGTCAGAGCCTTTTTTTAAATTTCTTTTTTCAGGTCGTCGTCGTCGGGCATCGTGAATGACGATGGATCTGCATCGGGGGGACATTTTTTTTTTTTTTTTTTTTTTTTTTTTTTTTTTTTTTAAATAAAGGACTTGTCAAAGACTGCCTACTTTTGGTTTTGTACACTACACTTTTTTTTTTTTTTTAATGAGTAGTGGTGCCATTCATTCACATGGGGGGGGAGGCCTGGGATCTGGGTGCCCTCTTGTTAAAGGGGACTTCCAGATTCTAATAGGCCTTCTACCTGCAGACCCCCACACCACTGGCAAGGTGCTTTGGGGCATGTAGCCTGGTATGGTTCAGGAATGGGGTGGATGCTTGCCCACCCCCCTTCTTGACCTGCTGGGCTGCATGCTTGGATAAGGGACTGGTATGGATTTTGGGGGAACCCCATGTCGGGTTTTAAAAATGAATTTATAGTTGCCAGCAATTCTTGCTTTTTACATCCCGCTGTCATCGGGAAACCCACTGACAGCTGTTGAGTCATCTGTTATTAGGGGCTCGGTGGCCGACTTCATTAACAACCAGATCTGAAAAGATACCGCATGTGATACTACCAGCAAAGTCCTGGGGGTAAATATTGTATCTTTTTTTACTTTCGGTTCCCTTTGTGAATTGGATTCAGCTTACCGCATTTTTTTTGGCAGTATTTACCGGCATGTGTTAAGTAACACAATTGTTATTTTTTTTTGTGAATTGCACATTTTGTTACTGCATGCGATAATTTATGCAAATTAATCATGTGCCTTGTTATTGCTTGCGGTAACCTTTAGTGAATTGACTCCAAAGCTACAGAGATAACTACTGTAGTATACAGTATATAACTCTTTGTGTAATCTATGAATAGCATTGTTTTTGAGTTATGGTTTATTTACCTGTCTTTTTTTGTTTTTTTTTTTACTTAGGAAAACCGTCCAGTTCCTGAACCTGGTCCAAATGGTAATTTTCTTTTTTAATAATATATGATTGCATGCATCTAGTTTATTTCTTCACCTTGAAATGATAGTAAATCAATTTTTTTAAATTAAAATATTAAAGAAGTTTATACTTATCTGCTCAGAGCAGCCACTTTCTCTTCTGGTGCTGTCTGCTACTCCTTAACATTTTTGGCTCTATACACCACCACAATGGATTTGAAATGAAACAAACAAGATGTGCTTTAACTGCAGACTGTCAGCTTTCATTTGAGGGTATTTACATCCAAATCAGGTGAACGGTGTAAGAATTACAACAGTTTGCATATGTGCCTCCCATTTGTTAAGGGACCAAAAGTAATGGGACAATTGGCTTCTCAGCTGTTCCATGGCCAGGTGTGTGTGTTATTCCCTCATTATTCCAATTACAATGAGCAGATAAAAGGTCCAGAGTTCATTTTAAGTGTGCTATTTGCATTTGGAATCTGTTGCTGTCAAATCTCAAGATGAGATCCGAAGAGCTGTCACTATCAGTGAAGCAAGCCATCATTAGGCTGAAAAAACAAAACAAACCCATCAGAGAGATAGCAAAAACATTAGGCGTGGCCAAAACAACTGTTTGGAACATTCTTAAAAAGAAGGAACGCACCGGTGAGCTCAGCAACACCAAAAGATCCGGAAGACCACGGAAAACAACTGTGGTGGATGACTGAAGAATTCTTTCCCTAGTGAAGAAAACACTCTTCACAACAGTTAGTGAGATCAAGAACACTCTCCAGGAGGTAGGTGTATGTGTGTCAAAGTCAACAATCAAGAGAAGACTTCACCAGAGTGAATACAGAGGGTCACCACAAGATGTAAACCATTGGTGAGCCTCAAAAACAGGAAGGTCAGATTAGAATTTGCCAAACGACATCTAAAAAAGCCTTCACAGTTCTGGAACAACATCCTATGGACAGATGAGACCAAGATCAACTTGTACCAGAGTGATGGGAAGAGAAGAGTATGGAGAAGGAAAGGAACTGCTCATGATCCTAAGCATACCACATCATCAGTGAAGCATGGTGGTGGTAGTGTCATGGCGTGAGCATGTATGGCTGCCAATGGAACTGGTTCTCTTGTATTTATTGAAGATGTGACTGCTGACAAAAGCAGCAGGATGAATTCTGAAGTGTTTCGGGCAATATTATCTGCTCATATTCAACCAAATGCTTCAGAACTCATTGGACACGGCTTCACAGTGCAGATGGACAATGACCCAAAGCATACTGCAAAAGCAACCAAAGAGTTTTTTAAGGGAAAGAAGTGGAATGTTATGCAATGACCAAGTCAATCACCTGACCTGAATCCAATTGAGCATGCATTTCACTTGCTGAAGACAAAACTGAAGGGAAAATGCCCCAAGCAACAAGCAGGAACTGAAGACAGTTGCAGTAGAGGCCTGGCAGAGCATCATCAGGGATGAAACCCAGCGTCTGGTGATGTCTATGCGTTCCAGACTTCAGGCTGTAATTGACTGCAAAGGATTTGCTACCAAGTATTAAAAAGTGAAAGTTTGATTTATGATTATTATTCTGTCCCATTACTTTTGGTCCCTTAACAAGTGGGAGACACATATGCAAACTGTTGTAATTCCTACACCGTTCACCTGATTTGGATGTAAATACCCTCAAATTAAAGCTGACAGTCTGCAGTTAAAGCACATCTTGTTTGTTTCATTTCAAATCTATTGTGGTGGTGTATAGAGCCAAAAATGTTAGAATTGTGTTGATGTCCCAATATTTATGTACCTGACTGTATGGGCTTGCTCCCAAGCCTGGCTGTGTGTGTCCATAGACAGAGTATGACTCGGCCCCGCCCCCACTCTATCCTCACCAAATTTGATTGACAGCAGCAGACGCAAAAAGGCTCCTGCTGCTATCAGCAAAGCCTGTGCTAATGAAGAGAAGGGAGAGAGCCACTGCAGATGGGCACAGTGCTGCATCAATGCAGTACTCCGGTAACTGTTGAGATGGGGGTGGTTTAAACTAGATTTGGAAGGTTTTTGGCAGCCCACAAATTCCGCAGCACCCGTGCTTCCCCCGTTCACTGCCCAACCTGGAATTCAGGTGGAAACAGCAAATTTACCTATTCCCTTGATTTTTTGGAGCTGTTTTTTCATGGAAGATCTGTATGCATTGATTGTGGATCAAAGCAATTTATATGCACAATTTATCACCGCCAACCCAAATTCAAACCTTGCCAGACCATTTGCATGGAAACCTATTACGGTTTCCGAATTTAAAATTCTTTTGGGCCTAACCCTCAACATGGGCATTACTAAAAAAAATTAATTCCGGTTGTATTGGTCCACTGACCGAATTAATCATATGCCGTGTTCTCTGCTGCCGTGGCCAGCCATAGATATGAGAATATAATGTGATTTATGCATTTCAACGACAATACACTCTGTCATCCTCAGGGTGACCCTGAATTTGACCTGCTCCACAAAATTCTGTCCTTTGTAACTCATCTTAACCAAAAATTTGCAGATGTCTATACTCCCCAGCAAAACATTTGTGTCGATGAGTCCCTCATTCTTTTTTCTGGCTGCCTTGCATTCAAACAATTTCTCCCTAGCAAGCGAGCCAGATATGGGGTCAAGATGTAGAAGACCTGTGAGAGTGCAACAGGCTATACATATATAAGTTTTGGATTTATGAGGGAAAGATAGTTACTTGGAGCCCCCTGGATGCCCATATTACATGGGGAGCAGTGGCAAGATAGTTTGGGACTTGGTGTCATCCTTTTTCCATATGGGGTACCACTAATACGTGGAAATTTTTATTCAAGCGTGCCAATGTTTAGACATTTGTACAATCTTGGAATTGGTGCATGTGGCACTGTGCGACCTAATCACCGGGGCTTCCCCCCCAACGGCTTGTAAATACATGTTTTAGAAAAAATGTGAATGGGACAGGGTAAAAATAATGAAAAAAATATCTACAAAAGAAATTAAAGCAACATCGCCCCTACCAGCGGTTACGCCATGCACGTGAGGTATCGCCGTGAACGTCAGATCGAGGGCAGTAATTCTACCATTAGACCTCCTATGTAAATCTAAAATGGTAGCCTGTAAAGGCTTTTAAAGCATCGCCTATGGATATTAAAAATGTATGCATTTAGTTGCAATTGCACGGGGCGTGCGTAGTTTTGAATCATGTCATATTTGGTATCTATTTACTCGACATACCATCATATTTTATATATTACCAAACAATTGGCCAATATAGTGTGTTTTTAAAGCAAATTTTGCGTTTATAAAAATGTGACATAAAAAATTGCAGCACCAACCATTTTATTGACTAGGGTGTCTACATTAAAACAATATTTAATGTTTGGGGGTTCAAAGTAATTTCCTAGCAAAAAATACAGATTTTTGTACAAAAAGTGTCAGAAAAAGCTTGGTCTTCAGGTGGTTAGAAGAGTGAGTGATGTGTGGCATATACTTCTAATGCTGGGCATAAAATGCCCCCCCCTCCCCCCCCCCCCCCAAAATGACCCCTTTTGGAAAGTTGACACCCCAAACTATTTGCTGAGAGGCATGTTGAGCCAATAGAAGAATGTATATTTTTTTTCCACAAGTTTTTGGAAAATGACACTTTTTGTTTTTTCTTATTTTTTTTCTAACACAAAATTGTCATTTGCCATGGGTATATGTGGAATTACTCCCCAAATACATTCTTCTAGTTCTCCTGAGTATGGGGGTACCACATGTGACAGACTTTTTGTCAATCTAGCCAAGTACAGAACCCCAAAATCCAATAAGACCCTTCAGGCTCTTAAAGGGATTTATTTTCTCATTACACTTCCTGACTACTTATCACCGTTTCGGAAGCCCTGAAATGCCAGAATAGTACAACCCCCCCCCCCTCCCCAAATGATCCCTTTTTGGAAAGTAGACACCCAAAGGAATTTGATAAGAAGCATGGTGAGTATTTTGCAGATCTTGTTTGTTGCCACAAGTTTTTGGAAAATGAAGACCTTTCCAAAAAGTCTGTCATATGTGGTACCCCCATACTTGGTAGAAGCAGCAGAATGTATTTTGGTGTGTAATTCCACATATACCCATGCCATGTGTGAGCAATATATCATTTAAATGACAGATTTGTGTAAAAAAAAAACGCTTTTTTGTCATTTGTCAAAAATGTGTGGTAAAAAATAAAGTATTCCATTGACTCAACATGCCACTAAGCAAATAGTCTGGGGTGTCTATTTTCCAAAAAGGGGTCATTGCTGGGGGGAGTTTGTTATCCTGGAATTTCAGAGCCTCTGAAACTGTGATAGGTAGTGAGGAAGTGAAATGTGGAATTTATACACAATCAGGCATTCAAGGGGGTCATTGGATTTCAGGTTCCTATATGTGACTAGGCTCCCAAAAAGTCTCACACGTGGTTTCCAAATACTCAGTAGAAGTAACAGAATATATTTTGGGGTGTAATTCCAAATATACCCATGGCATGTGTTAGCAATATACCATTTAAGTGACAAGTTTGTGTGAAAAAAAATTAATTTTTGTCATTTCCAAAAACTTGTGGAAAAAAATAAATCTTCATGGACTCAACATGTCTCACAGCAGATAGCTTAGGGTGTCTACTTTCTGAAAAGGTGTTATTTGGAGGTGTTTGTACTGGAATTTTAGCACCTCAAGAAATGTGATAGGCAGTCAGAAAGCAAAAGCTGTTTAAATTCCAGTATCTATACCATAGTTTGTAGATGCTATAACTTTCACACAAACCAATTAATATGCAGTTATTGGGATTTTTTTTTTTTACCAAAGACATGTAGCAAAATACATTTTGGCTTAAGTTTATGATGACATTTGAGTTTATTGGATATTTTTTATGACAGAATAGAGAAAATATCGTTTTGTTTTGTTTGTTTTTTTTCATATGTTTCTGTATTTTTTTGTTTATGGCGCGGAAAATAAAAAAAAAACACAGAGGTGATCAAATACCACCAATAGAAAGCTCCATTTGTGTGAAAAAAATAACATAAATTTTATTTATGTTCAAAATTGCATCAGGTAAACTAGTGCAGCGCTATATAGCAAAAAATGGCAGAAATTCCAGTATCTAAGTTTGTAGATGCTATAACTTTAACACAAACTAATCAATATACACTTATCGGGATTTTTTTTTACCAAAGGCATACAGCAAAATACATTTTGACCTACATTTATGGTGACGTGATTTTATAGGATATTTTTTATAACAGAAATGAGGAAATATTGGGTAGGGGTTTTCAAAATTTTTGGTCTTTTTTTTGTTTACAGTGCAAAAAAAAAACCCCCAAAAACCCAGAGGTGATCAAATACCACCAAAAGAAAGCTCTATTTGTATGAAAAAAGGACATACATTTAATTTATGTACAGTGTTGCATATCCGCACAATTGTCAGTTGAATTATCATGGCGCCATAATGCAAAAAATGGGCTGGTAAGGAAAGGGGGTAAATCCTCTGGATTGCAAGTGGTTAAGGATTGATAAGCAGCAATATATTACATTTTTGGTTTTGAGTTTAATGCCGTGTTGCATATCTCTACAGAAGACCATCAACTATGTCAACCATTATAGCTAATAGAATTACTGGGCATCTTTGTGAACATTATCTGGAACAAGCATTAGAAATTTCTTTGGTTTGTCTTCTCTGATGCTAAGAAGCTGCAAATAATAGGAAAGAGAGAAATCCATAGATCTCTTTACTTCTTGAAATAATTTGATTACACTGCCTCTGATGCACTGAAATCCAAAGCAGTGCTATCAGCCCTGCCAAGCTGAAAAGTGTCAGACTGATCATGATCACTATCATTTAGCATTTTGACATCTGAAATTGTTTAATATTCTGTACAGTATATGGTGAACGTATCCAGTATTTGAGTCCCTTTTATTTTATCATCTTTATATTTTTATCCATAGTCACATGCTATCCAAGCTGTCACCAAGCAGAGTTGGTGATAAATTATATGATTGCCGGTGATGCTTTTATTTACCTGTCTTCTATCACCTTTTGCAGGAAAGCTCAGTCTCCATATCATTAATATACTGAGCTGTGATTTGCATGGGCACGGCAGACCATTCATTTCAATGGGCTGCCGTGCCTCCTGAAACACAGAGAAAGGTCCCTCTTATCCCATATATATATATAAGAAACAGCGGTCCTGTGCAAGACCGCCCTCAGCACTATATGATTGCCGCACTCTCAAATCCTTCTGAGCATCGTGGTAGGGGTGGGACCCTGGATGACATCAGGACGTGCGGAAGGATTAGAGAGTGCGCCAATCATATAGCGCTGAGGGCGGTATTCACAGGACCGGCATTTCTTATCTACACACTGTAAACATCTGGTGCAATCTAGCAGCTATAATAAGTGAGTGCAATTGTATCTGTTTTACGAAGAAATTAAACTTTTAAGGGCAAAGCACTATTTAAAGTTTTATTTTCTTGCAACAGAGTGGTGTTTGAGATGGCGAGCAGAGAGTTGTGGATATTGATCTGGAATTTACAAGAGCCATCTATGGTGTCCATTAAAGGGACAAAAATTGTTTTATGACCAAACAGTTGATGTGAGGTCATATAGAGAAAGATAGCAGACATCAGGTGGTGGTTTGGTCACTTAACATTGCTGGATCAAGGACAGATGGTGGCACTTATTGTAAAGGCGCAGGATTCCTTTTTGTGAAGGATTTTATGTTGAATATATTATATGTAATGCACATTTTGTTTGTGTTATAAGCACTGTAATTATTTTAATTAGGAGAGGTTGGTGTTCCACCTAATAACGCTGCACAATATTGTTTTAAGTTTTGGCTGGATTGCTGAATTGTATGAGATTTGCATTCTGTGCATAGCTACTGATAGGGGTTGGATTTTTTCACTATTAAAAAGTGTTTCAGTTTTTAGTCTATCATTTATTATTGAAAAGGTTCTATTACTGTAATTATTCACAGTTTATGGAAGAGGATTGTTAGATAAGTAGTATTTTGTTGATTTTGTTTTTCACTTAGCAGCTTACAAGGTAAGTACATTTTGTTCATTTATTCTACTTAATATAACAATTTAATTTTTTTAGATAAAATATACTAAAGGCAGCATGATATTTACCACCAGAGGTTGTAATGAAGACAGCAGAATATACTAATTGTAGAGAAGTCATTGGTTTTTAACTTGCCCCAGTAATTTTCTTTTACAGAGGTGCTACTGAAAATGCATTCAGTTGGAATATGTGGCTCAGATGTACATTACTGGCAGCATGGGCGTATTGGAGATTTCATTGTGAAGAAACCCATGGTTCTTGGACATGAAGCTTCGGGGACCGTGATTAAAGTGGGATCTTCAGTCACTCATCTCAAGCCAGGTAAACAGCCATAGTTTTTTCTTTATCTTTTTTTGGCAATATTCAGCAAGTTACATTGATATCTGCCAGGGGCTATATCAGACAGGAAAATTTGTTTAGCTAACAAATCCTTCTCCTTATTAGTTTTGGTGTTAGTAATAAGTGAATCACAACTAATGGAAAGTGTGTGTCCCTGTGATTCCAGGAATTTATAGCTCAGTCACTGAGTAATTAACTTTTTTTTTTTTAGAAAATTGCCAGCTACTTGTCTTATCAGCAGTGAGATGTTTGTGCTGATCCTTTCTGGATTCAGTGAGTGATAGAACATCCATGGATGTTGTTTCTCTGCATTTTAAACACTATATTGCACTTTCAGGGAAATGTTCTTGACATGACATTGCCATTATAAAAATAGCATTAAAAGAGAAGTTTAAATCCTAGCTACCTGGGTGGATGCATCATCGATTTGATGCTGTATCCTCCCAGGCTCCCCCAACTTGCCCAGTATCCCCCAATGGCTTGAAAGGGTGATAACTGAGCAATCAGATACTGCTGATTGCTCAGTTCTCCTCACTGTTCTGAGCAGGGAGCAGTGACTGTCAGTCACTTCTCTTTGCTCTGCCCCCAGAGCAGTCACTGGAGCACTGGGCTGTGGAGGGGGTGGGAGAGGCTGGCTGACTCAGGCTCTCAGTGGCTTGCTGAGAGGTTAAGCCAGGTGCCAATACAGGCTCCTGAGTGGATCTTGAGCATATGTTTGTGATCCTTCCCCAGCCTGAACTGGCTCTGCGACATCAGCCAACAACAGGCTGTAGTCAGCTGTCGGCTGATAATTATAATGGGTCTCAGGAGTGCAGGACAAACTGCACTCCTGTGATCCACAGGAGAAGTACAACCAAACGAGTTTTGGTACATCTCCTTTAAAAAGATTAAAGGCTAGTGGTGCCTATAGACAGATTGCCCATTTCAACAGTGATGTACATGCTCCCCAATCTGTGCCATTCTTACATGGTGGAAAAAACTACTTGGCTGGGTTAGACTTTCCTAGCTAATCAGTGTTTTCTCTTCCCTGGGATAAGCTAATGATAAAGGTGGTTATCCGTAGCCATAAAAATGAGTAGTGCGAAAATGCATGTTTATAAAGATTTTATTTTTTACAAAATTTTCTTTTCATGGTAGTGATTTTCTGTACACTCCCAAATGCTGTTTCATGTCTCTAAGTATCTGGAATCCAAAACTGAAAAAGAGAACTGAGTGGGCAACCTTTCAGGGGATGAGATCTAAAAACCCTTTAAAGAAAAACAAACAACAATCAAGTCCCCAATAAAAAGACGGCATGAAGAATAGATAGAGTGTCACAGTAGTGTCCTCTGGCCCCACTTCATATGAGCTCACCCCCCCCCCCCCCCCCCCAGTAGTGTCCTCTGTCTCCACACACAGTAGTGTCTTCTCCCCCCCCACAGTATTGTTCTCTGTTTCCCCCCATAGAAGTGTCCTGTGCCCCCCCCAAACGTAATGTCCTCTGCCCCTTGTTCCCCCACAGTGGTGTCCTCTGCCCCCTTCTCATAATTCTCCCAACACACACACACACACACTCAGTGTATAGATAACGCACTCCTTACAATGGGTGTACAACAGAGCAGAGAGTTTGAAGCAGCACAGTACTGGACTGAGAGTGGAGTTAACGCTTCATGTTAACCAGCAGGTGATTGGTTGCTAGAACCGGCTGACGTCCTAGCAACCAATCACCTGTTGGGTAACGTGAAAGCTTAACTTTGGCAGCTCCTGTTCCCACCCTCCGTCCAGTGCTGTTTTCCACTCTGCTGTGAAGATGAGAGCAGCAGAGGCTGAGGAGAAGGACCTATAATTCTGCCTGTGGATGGCAGGTGATTCGCGATTGATGGGTTGCTGACCCCCAGGATACACCAACTTAAATATGTTTGTCTGGAGCTTCAGCAATGGCACTCCCCCATACTGTTTTGATGATAACTTCAGTTCTCCAACCCCAGCATTAATGACTGTCTTAAAGGAAATTAACAGAAGTGTTGACTAGGTAGGTTGATAATGCTGCTGGGCCATTTGCAAGCAATAAGCCAGTGAGTAGGACAGTGTGTAAATGAATGACCATTTTCATTGTCAAATGTCGAACTTTTTTTCAGGTGATCGAGTTGCTATTGAACCAGGAGTTCCAAGAGAAACTGATGAATTCTGCAAAACTGGACGCTATAACTTGTCTCCCACCATTTTTTTCTGTGCTACACCACCGGATGATGGAAACTTGTGTAGATACTACACACATAATGCAAACTTCTGTTATAAGTAAGCAAACTTGTCAGGTTCATTGTCTGTGTTTTCTTGGAGTCATTCTTCAGATTCCAATGAATCTTGCTGATGTACCATGTACCATATAGAGTTAATTCAAAGGATTAGCTACATAGAACACACATATATTGCATTCATTCATAACATCAAATTTATTTTACACTTAGACATTTCAAGGTTGCTTGTCAAGTGCTAGAAGTTTGATATTCGAGAGGATGTCATCCAGAGCTCTAATAGAAAAAGGTTTAAACTAGTTATGAAGTTACACAATCATTTCCTGGCGGACTTGTACTGGCGCAAGGCAACTTTTAGCTTGCGTGTGTGTAAATAGTTAGCTTCTGATTGTTTTCTTTATGCTCCAGTACATTTAACAAATTACAGTGGGGATCGAACGTTTGGGCACCCCAGCTAAAAATTTGTATTAATGTGCATAAAGAAGCCAAGGAAAGATGTAAAAATCTCCAAAAGGCATCAAATTACAGACTAGACATTCTTATAATATGTCAACAAAAGTTATATTTTATTTCCATCATTTACACTTTCAAAATAACAGAAAACTGAAGGTTTTGCCATGGCCTTCACAATCTCCTGACCTCAACATAATTGAAAATCTATGAATAGACCTTAAAAGAGCAGTGCGTGACAGACAGCCCAGAAATCTCAAAGAACTGGAAGACTTTTGTAAGGAAGAATGGGCAAAGATACCTCAAACAAGAATTGAAAGACTCTTGGCTGGCTACAAAAAGCGTTTACAAGCTGTGATACTTGCCAAAGGGGGCAGTACAAGATATTAACTCTGCAGGGTGCCCAAACTTTTGCAGATGCCATTTTTTTGTTTTCTGTTATTTTGAAAGTGTAAATGATAGAAATAAAAGCTAACTTTTGTTGACATATTATAAGAATGTCTAATCTGTAATTTGATGCCTTTTGGAGATTTTTCCATCTTTCCTTGGCTTCTTTATGCACATTAATACAAATTTTTAGCTGGGGTGCCCAAACATTCGATCCCCACTGTATGTATATAGGTCAGGTTTTGCCATCTCTGTATGTGTGTGTAGTGAAATTACTTCAAATTTGTGCTTTTCATACAAAATTCATACAAAATGGGCCCTCTAAAAGTATAGTAAATATATGATCATGGCACCCATTTTGTTTTGTTTTCTGCAGACTTCCTGATAATGTAACATTTGAAGAAGGAGCTCTGATAGAACCTCTCTCTGTAGGAATCCATGCTTGTAGGAGAGCTGGGGTTACACTTGGAAGCAAGGTCTTTATATGTGGAGCAGGTAAAACTTTAGGACATGGTAAAAGCTTTAACAAAAGTTTTTTGTTTTTATTTTTTTATGTTTTTAAATATAATTACCGGCTGATATTCATGAAAGTGAATATAAGGTTAAAATTGTTTCAGAATTATTTTAGGAAACCCGACAGCATGTGCATGTGTGTGTGTGTGTATAAATATGTATGTATGCGTTAAAAAAAAAAAAACCTGTGTGTATATACACTGCTCAAAAAATTAAAAACACTTTTTAATCAGAGTATAGCATCAAGTCAATTAAACTCCTGGGATATTGATCTGGTCAGTTAAGTAGCAGAGGGGGTTGTTAATCAGTTTCAGTTGCTTTGTTAATGAAATAAACAACAGGTGCACTAGATGGACAACAATGAGACGACCCCCGAAAACAGGAATGGTTTTACAGGTGGAGGGCAATTACTTTTTTTTTCCTTATTCATCTTTTCTGACTGTTTTTCACTAGTTTTGCATTTGGCTAGGGTCAGTATCACTACAGGTAGTATGAGGCAATACCTGGACCCTACAGAGGATGCACAGGCAGTCCAGCTCTTCCAGGATGGCACATCAATACGTGCCATTGCCAGAAAGTTTACCGTGTCTCCCAGCACAGTCTCAAGAGCATGGAGTAGATTCCAAGAGACAGGCAGTTACTCTAGGAGAGCTGGACAGGGCCCTAGAAGGTCCTTAACCCATCAGCAGGACCGGCATCTGCTCCTTTGTGCAAGGAGGAACAGAATAAGCACTGCCAAAGCTCTACAAAATGACCTCCAGCAGGCCACTGGTGTGAATGTCTCTGACCAGACAATTAGAAACAGACTTCATAAGGGTGACCTGAGGGCCCGACTACCTCTAGTGGGCCATGTGTTCACTGCCCAGCACCATAGAGCTTGATTGGCATTTGCCATTGAACACCAGAATTGGCAAGTCCACCACTGGTGCCCTGTGCTTTTCACAGATGAGAGCAAGTTCACCCTGAGCACATGTGACAGACGTGAAAGGGTCTGGAGAAGCCGTGGAGAACGTTATGCTGCCTGTAACATCCTTCAGCATGACCATTTTGGTGGTTGATCAGTGATGGTCTGGGGAGGCATATCTATGGGGAACTCACAGACCTCTACAGGCTAGACAGTGGCACAGTGACTGCCATTAGGTATCGAAATTAAATCCTTGGACCCATTGTCAGATCCTGCGGTGGTGCAGTGGGTCCTGGGTTCCTCCTGGTGCACGACAATGCCCGGCCTCATGTGGCGAGAGTATGCAGGCTGTTCCTGAAGGATGAAGGAATTGATCCCATTGAATGGCCCCCACAGTTGCCTGAACTTAATACAATAAAACACCTCTGGGATATCATGTTTCGGTCCATCTAACGCTGCCAGGTTTCACCTCAGACTGTCCAGGAGCTCAGTGATGCCCTGGTCCAGATCGGGGAGGAAATACCCCAGGACACCATCTGTCATCTCATCAGGCGCTTACCCCGATGTTTTCAGGCATGCATACAAGCACTTGGGGGCCATACAAAGTACTGAGTATCTTTTTGAGTTGCTGCTATGAAATTTCAGCAAAATGGACTAGTCTGCTACATCATTTTTTCAGGGTGTCTTTGAATTCAGTCTTCTCTAGGTTGACCATTTTCATTTCCATCAAGTGATGGGGTATCCTTACATTCCTAACACATTAACTAGTCCATATCAGTATAGATATTCAGCATGATATTTTTCTCCATTGAGATTTGATGTGTTTTCAAAGTGTTCCTTTTAATTTTTTTGAGCAGTGTACATATATATATTCCAATCACCTATAAGAGTAATTACATAAAAGAAACCTAGATCTTGGACAAATGAAATAGTTCTACAATATACATTTGTTCCACGATATTTATAAATACCATGGAAAACAATTTTACAATTGTATAATTATGGTGGGCCCAGCCGGCCATAGATTTATCGAATCTTGGCTAGTTCAGCAGGGACTGGCCAAGATTCGATCCATGTATGGGCAGGTTGATTGTACCCAAGTCAATCCATTGATCGACAACCAGCATTGGATTTTTAGCATGCGATTATTACCAGTGGCTATAGCCACTAGCTCTAATCATTGTGCTCTTCTGGAAGGGATGGTCTGTCCCCCCTCCCCAGTAACCGTACAATAGCTCTGCAGGAGGGATTCCTCTATCAACACTGACTGTATTGATGGGATAATTATAATCCAGCAATATTCTTTCCTGTAACCTATGGTCAGGCTTTTGAAGTAGAAAGAGTCACAGTAACTGGGACACTGGGAGTTGCACAGTGTCAGGAGAAAAGAGTCATTGGTTTATTATATTCCCATATATTAGAATATCGAATTAAAATATTATACAAGCAACATTTGTAAAAAAAAAAAAAGCTATAAAAAATGTACCAGTTTGGTGGGGAAGGTTAGAATGGTGGTAGGTATAGTGGTAAAAGCAGAGGGGTTGGCAGGTGTAGTGGGGAGTGAAGGTCGGGCATGGCACTGCCAGCTGGGGAGCATGCAGTCATGGAATCAATGTGCAAGTGTGATGGGGAGGAAAGATAAAAATCAGGTGCAGTGATGGTGGGAAAACAGGAGGTTTGCAAGCATGGTAGTGGGAAAAGTGGGGGCATAGGTGCCATGTTTGAGTGCAGAGGTCAGGGACACTGTGATGAGAGCAGGCATGGTTGTAGGATAGGATGTGTGCATGGTGGTGATAATAGGAGACATGAGAGCATAGGGGGTTCAGTCATGATGGTGAGAGCAAGGGAGGGGAAGGGGGACTTATGGTATGTAAAGGTATACAAATCCATGAGAGATGTATAAATGATAAAATGTGTCAGTAGCCAATGCAACTTGAGAAAAACATGTGCATGATCTATATCACTATGCTCCTTGTAATTTGTACAGAAGATGTACAGTTAGAAATGTGGCAGTCAAAGTTAACATTTTAAATTCAAATAAGATTCATTTTAGTCATCTGAATCTTACTCCTAGGAGGATTATTTATCTTTAACTGTGTTTTGTGTATTTCGGAAAATTAGATAGAAAAAAATGTAATTTTGTTTAAAAGTTAATCTATAAAATGGTGGCATAATTCTATTCTAATGCAAATATCCAATGTGGTGTCTCAGGACCTATTGGGCTGGTTTCACTAATTGTAGCGAAGATGATGGGAGCCTCGCAAACAGTGATAAGCGGTAAGAAAAGATGCTACTTGTTCCTATTACATTGTGTGATCATTGGAAGCTTGTTTTTGATTGTATGGCAAAGTGTGATCATCCCTTGTAGATGGGAATCTACATTTTATAGAAAAAAAGTAACCGAGGGGAGATATGCAAAATACATCAATGTAGGAAAAAAGATTTTTTGGCAGAATGAAAATACATATAGAATCTTCTGCCAATAAAAATCTGCCCAAAAGAGGGAACATTGTGTGGAACTGACAGCGAGGGGTTTTGTACACAATCTGGTGGCTGCAGCCACAGGGATTTTGTATAAAACTGAAAGGCAGATTCCTGCCTGTCAGGTGGAAATAGTCGGGTGGCTGCACTGCCATCCGATCGCTTCCATAGCCCCGGTATCCCCCATGCGGACTCCCATCATGCATCCGGGCACCGCTTGTCCATCTGCAGGCCTGGGGAGTGCCATGGCAGGTGCCGGCAGATGGAGGGAAGAGAGTAGAGTGCTCTCCTGTCTTTCTGTGACACGGAACAAGACATGCATGATGTCACTTTCGGATCACTGCTTCTCACTTTCTGCATTGCAATACATTGAGTGGAGGCCAGAGGAGACGTGATGAAAAAAAAGTTAAGCAAAAAAAATAACATTACACTCAAGCAGATAACTCCCCCCCCCCCCCCCCCCCCCCCACACACACACACACACGTTAGGGAGCCTACTCCTGAAAACATCGATTGCGATACACATGTTGCATATCACACACAGGTGTGAGAGCAATAATTCTAGCACAGGACCTACTCCACAATGCTAAATTGATAACCTATAGGGCCTCTTGAAGCGCTGCCTATAGAAAATATAGGGTACTGAAATTTGTTGCCATTTCGTAGACGCACACTAATTTAAGGTTTGCCATGTTGGGTATCTATTGACTCATCGCAACCTCAACTTTTATATTGTATCAAACATTTTGGTTATTTATTACATTTGTTTGACCTAAAACTCACTTTAGTGTGTTTTTTACTGAAATTGTGCGTTTCGTAGACCTTTGCGGTAATATCGTGTAACATACCACTATTTTATTCTCTAGGATGTCTGCTTTCAGAAAATTTTTTAAATGTGTGCAAAAAAATGCGAAAAGGCTCTGGCAGCGAAAGGGTTAAAACAGCGTGGGGAACGTTGCCGACCCTCTATACAGAAGCAAAGCTGGTGTTAAGAGAGTACTGGGGATAAAGCCTGCAGAAAGATGCTGTGGGAGGATGGGCAAAAAAGGAGGTAGAGGGAGGAGGAAGGAGCCATAAGGAAAGTAAAGGCAAGTGAGGGGAGGGGGGTAAGCAGACAAAAGCACAGTGGACATGCATCCACTCCCGTGGAGTGTGGAAGGGGCTAAAAAGAGCGAAACTCACTGGGGAGGAGTACAAACAAAATATTCCCATGGACTCCAGGTGTTACGGAAGGTCTCTTCTTTATTGCGGAAGGTGGCTGTAATGTCCCCCATGTCCCTAATTTCATTCACCTAGGAGAACCAGAGAGCAGGTGTGTGGGGAGGTGAACTTCTTTCCAGCAGAGTGGGATACAGGCCTTTGCCACATTAAGCAGCTGAATAGTGAGAGGTCTTATATTACTTGATGGGTCTCCCTGTCAAGTGCAGGAGGTCGGCCGCTGGGTCGTCATGCAAGGCCACGGTGGTAAGTTGTTTGATTATACCAATTTCCTCTCACCAGAATGACTGGAGCTTCTGGCATTGCCAGAAATGTGGAGAAAGGTACCTCTGTCTGCTCCGCATCGCCAACAGGCACTAGAAAACTGAGGCGAGAAGTGATATAGCTTGGAGTGTGCCCGATACCATCAAGTGAGAAGTTTATAGTTGGTCTTTTGGACCTTGGTGGCCATTGAGGACTTTTAGTCAAAAATGTAGAATTTTCTCTTTCTGAGACACATTAAAGGACACACCTAGATCCGCCTCCCATTTAGAAAGAAAAGGGGGAGAGTAATTGGTCTCTAGACAGATGAGAGATGAATAGATGATAGACTGTGCCGAACCGGCTTGCCCCTTGCAATCTGAATTTCTCTTAACTACCCATCCCCAAAGTAAGTCAAAACTGTCCTGTGTGTGTGTAAGTTCTTATTGTAAGGCCGTTTCACATCAGAATGTGGTGCGGGAAAAGTGCATTCTGTGTGCATTTCCCACACCGCATTCAAAACACACTGCTTTTGCGATCTTTTGCAGGTGCCAATATGTTGTTAACAGCACCACAAATGCAGAACCATACCGCAGCACAAGGCAATTTGGTGTGGTGCATTTTTTATAAGTAGTGGTTATCTACTTTTTGTGTGATCTGGTGCGATTTCAGCCCATTTAAATTAATGGACTGAAAATTACACTGCAGGAGAATGCACAGGAATTGCACAGAAATATGCACTGCATTTCTGTGCGATTCTAGTGCCAACTGGCATGTATCAGGTAACAGTATTTTTATATACACATTTTATTGTGTGTGCCTGTGGCTTTTTTCTTCTTGGTGCCTTTGCTGAGTAAATACAGATGCTATGTTTTATAACCCTTGTACTATAATGGGAACAACTTTTGACAAGTTGGTATGAATCCAGTGAATCTGTTTCCTGGGGGGTTGTAAAAGGAAACTCGAATGCCAAAAAGTTCCACCGTGCACTATTCAGGTTATCTGTAACATTTCTGCCATTCAGATTCTTTGATTGTTTTTTTTTTTTGCACTGCGGTATAAAAAAGGAAATATAGTGCATGTTAGGCTCCCGATCCTTTACCAATCCTAGAGAAAAGAGAAAAGTGCAAATCTAGTTTTCTCCCACTGAACAAAAAAAAACATCCCAGAGGCTCTCAACCTGCATGGGTGAGATCCCTGGGTGACATGTAACCCTCCTGACACTGTGACATAACCCCGTCTGTATATTTATATATATAATATACAGTGCTCACTCAGCATAAGTGACTACACCCCAACAGATTTGTCAGAAATCCTTTACTTTTCTTTCAGAATCAACATTTTCTATGGTACACTATACTACAAAAAAACTCCCACAAATGCAGGCCAGTGATTGCAAACAAGATTTGTTAATTTGCACACACAAAAAAGTATTTTTCTTAACAAATTCATTCAAGACCATGTTGCAAAATGAATACACTGCAGTGAAAGTCTTCAGAGCAAAGCAATATCCTAATTAACAAGAATTTAACTACAGGTAAGTCTAATTATTCATTAAACAGGTGTCCAGCAGACCGTTTATAAAAGGGTGTTACTTAAAGTGTTACTAAACCCAGGACCCTGCATTCACTATATCTGTTCTCCCACAGTACACAGAACATGGAAATGCAAATATTTTAGTAAATATAAACTGCTAAATACCTTTTCTCACCAGCAGTTAGAGCAGTTGTGTGGCTTATATCGGTGTCCAGAAGAGCACTGGTTAAAGCTTGTAGGAGGAGTTTTCTCTAGGAGGATGCAGAACCCCTGACCTCTGTCAGTGCTGACTGGCCCTGTGCTCATCACATGCACTCTCCCAAGAAAAAAAACACCTCACGATATATCTTATCAGGAAATAAGAGGAGAGCACTGGGAGAAGGGGAGGATCAGAAAAGTCAGGATCAAAGAGTGCTTTTAAACAATGCAGAGGGTTAACCCCTTAGGTTTCACAGTGAGTATAACAAGTATGCTTTACTGCTGTGGGTTTAGTAACACTTTAACAAAGAAAACCCTTTCCCTTTTCATGCTGTCCGCAATGGCACCACATGGAAACGAAATGTCATAAGGCCTGAAAAAGAAAAATAATTATTTACACAAGGTGAAGGTTACAAGAACAGCAAAGCTTTACTTATCAGTCAGAATACTGTAGAAAAAGTGATACAAAAATTTAACAAAGACGGCTATCTCACAGAGACGTCGAGGCTGTTCATTGAAGTTAAAACCCCAACAGCAACATTTTCTGATGAGAAGGGTTGAATACAATCGCCATGCAAGTTCACTGCATTTAGCTAAATATTTAGAAAGCCAAACTGGGGTGATTGTTTTCCGGGACACAGTACGGCGTACACTGCAGAGGAAAGGCAAGCATGGGTGTCGTCCACGAAGGAAGCCACTTCTAAAGCCCATGCACAAAAAAGTCTGTCTAGAATTTGCCAGGGCACATGCTGAAAAAGAGGAAGACTACTGGGACTTTGTACTCTGGCGTGATGAGACGAAGTTAAATGTTTTTGGAGCTGATGGCTTCAAAACTGTATGGCGTCGCAAAGGTGAGGAGTACAAAGAAAAATGCATGGTGCCTACAGTGAAACATGGTGGTGGCAGTGTCCTTCTGTGGGCTCTGAATGAGTGCTGCTGGTGTCGGGGAGCTGCATTTCATTGATGGTATCATGAATTCACAGATGTACTGTTCTATATTGAAAGAGAAGATGCTACCATCACTCTGTGCTCTTAGTCGTTGTGCACTTTTCTAACTTGACAATGATCTAAAACACACATCTGAGGCCACTATTGCATTTCTGAAGAACAGGGTGAAAGTGATTTAGTGGCCAAGTATGTCTCCTGATCTGAACCCAATCGAACACCTATGGGGAATTCTGAAGAGACAAGTTGAGCATCACTCTCCATCGAGCATCCAGGCTCTAAAAGAAGTCGTCCTTGAAGAATGGAAAAAAAATAGATGTTGCAATATGTCGCCAACTTGTTCATTCCATGCCTTACAAATCATGGAGATCATACAAAATAATAGATGTAGTAGTTTTTGGGTGTATTCATTTTTTGCATCAACTAATTTGAGTAAAACTGAAGATTTTTTGTAATCCAAGTTATATTATTAACCTTACTTTAATATAATGAGCTAAGCAATTGTTCTATAAAACTCCGTCCGTACGACCCCCCCCTACCCCTCCCCCCCACACCCACACCCCCACCCCCACGGGTGTGGCCAAAGGAAATTATTCAGTGGGGGTGTTGACATCCAAACTGCACCCTGGGCACCTGCATCTCTTTTGTCCCTGATCTGAACTACGTGGGAGCTGCTCAGGAGATCAGATCTGTGGGAACTATTGGGAAACAAGCTGTCATTTGTATACACAGAAACTGGACTTCTGATAAGCAGGGAGTAGAGGGCCTGAGCCAGAGGTGGTGGAACTGAATTCCACCAAGTTTCAGCTGAAAAAAGCCCTATATATACACTCACTGGCTGCTTTATTAGGTACACCTTGCTAGTACCAGGTTGGACCCCCCTTTTACCTTCAGAACTGCCTTAGTTCTTCGTGGCATAGATTCAGCAAGGTGTTTTCTCCATATTCACATGAGTTACTGTTGCCTTTCTATCATCTTAAACCAGTCTGCCCATTTTTCTCTGACATCAGCGAGGCATTTTCGTTCCACACAACTGCCACTCAATACTTTCTCTTTTTAGGACCATTCTCTGTAAACCCTAAAGATGGTTGTGTGTGAAAATCCCAGTAGATCAGCAGTTTTTGAAATACTCAGGCAAGCCCGTCTGGCACCAACCACCATACCATGTTCAAAGTCACTTAAATCCCCTTTCTTCCCCATTCTGAATGCATTGAGTCCTTCTATGGATGTCGGTCAGCCTGCACCCTCATCAAGAACTCAATGTCAGCATGTTGCTTTTCCTTGAATTTTACCATTTTTTTACCTGCAATGAAGAAGAGTTACGACAGAGGAAGAGTTACCCTACCAACATGTGAAATCTGAATGGCCTATGTTAGCCTGTTGATGCATATTATGTGAAGGTATTCATAAAGTTCCATTCTTTTGATGCACACCAATATCTTCTGTTATGTGTTTCCTGTTTGCCCATTTTGTGAACATTATAAATGTGAACTTTGCCTTTCGAACTTCCTGTAAAAGACTTATTTTATGGACTATTAAATACATGATTACAGCAGCGTGTGAAATTTTACAGTACAGGCTATAGCATTATTGCTCTCCACTGATGTCAAAACAGACTAATTGCAAAGCAATTTCGAAACACAGAAAACTAGTATTCTTTTGTTGCTTTATTGATCATATTTAGATATGTGTGACACACAAATGCATTTCCTGTTTGGGTAAATATAATGATCTTCATACTTGTCATAGACTCCTTCTTTCTATTTGACTTTTTATTAAAATATTGGAGTTTACATTTTAACAAATATGTTTTGTATATCCATTAGGCTCTCCAGTTTTTGCTTGATGCAGACAACTGATTTCTGTCATTATCCTACACTGCAGGGTTGTGCATTCCACTGCTGATATTTTTTGGATTCTCATTCAGTTGCTGAAGGGGAATGTTTCTGTAGTTGGTATAAGAAAACTGATACCAGCAGGTTCTTAGTGTAGTAATAAGCAGAGTCAGGCACCTAACTGCTTCTGCATGAGAATTTGTAACTTTTGGCATTCTGGCTTGTATGCACTTCAGATGGTTGACTTCCAATGAAGGTTTTCTGTTAACCTGACTAATATAAAAGCAGATGCCAAGTGTCACAGAGGGGCTGTGTTTACCATAAGGCATTTAATTGGGCAGGTTAAGAGTATAGACATTAATAAAAAGAGTTACTAATTCAGATTTCATCTGGGTTGTAGGACAAATTTTACTGAATGTATGATTGGCAGGAACTGACTATTACTAATGCAGCTTGAGTAACAAGATTTGCTAAGTTAGGTTAATAAAGCAACTACTACTAACTAGTGTGTGATACAGTAATCAGAGGTTTAAGGGTTAACCCCTTCCCACCCAACCCCAGCATCCCTATTATAGGGTGTGTATGCCCGCCGGGGAAGGGGGGAGGGGGGTGTGGTGGTGGGAAGGATAGAAGGATAAGCAAAGCATGTGACCACTGTGATTGGCTGTCACAGTGGTTAAACGATCTGATCATGAGCTGTTCCCCGTTGACCCTTGATCATTAATATGACTGAAAAGCTCTCTTTGACAGCTCGTTACTGTGCTGGGAGCTTCAGTGAGCGCACTCTCAGCACAGCATATGTGCAGAGTGTGGGCACTAAAGCTTTGCTGCTGCATATATACAATACGTGGGTGGCAAGAATAAACAAAGTACAGCCATGGCCAAACATTTTGGCTCCCTTGCATTTCTGTCAGATATTGTATCACTTCAACCAGGAAATTGTTGCATTTACAAATGTTAAGGCATTCTCATGTTTATTTCTTTTGTTTGTATTGGTAAAGTGGAGAAACAAAAAGCCAAATCAACACATTCCGAAACCCCAAAAATGGACTGGACAAAGTTATTTACACTCTCAATTTAATATTTGGTAGCACACCCCTTGGAAAAAATAACTGAAATCAATCGCTTCCTCTAATCATCAATGAGTTTCTTTCACCTCTCTACTGGAATTTTGTCCCACTCTTCTTTTGCCAGCTACTCCAGGTCTCAGATTTGAAGGGTTCCTTTTCCCAAATGCTGTTTTGTAATCTCTCCCCACAGGTTCTCTATGGCAGGGGTGGGCAACTGTGACCCTTCAGCTGTTGGTGAACTACAAGTCCCATCATGCCTCTGCCTTTGGGAGTCATGCTTGTAACTGTCAGTTTTGCAATGCCTCATGGGATTTGTAGTTCTTTAACAGCTGGAGGGCCACAGTTGCCCACCCCTGCTCTATGGGATTGAGACCTGGACTCATAGCTGGCCAGTTCAGTATTCTCCAGCATTTTGTCTGAAACCATTTCTGGTTGCTTTTTGACATGTGTTTCTGTGTCAGCAGTGGGGTCCTTCTGGGTCTCCTACCATAGCGTACCTTTTCATTCAGATTGCGATGAATAGTGCGAACTGACACAACTGTACTGCCTGAAGGTAAGCTTGAATTTGTCTGGAAGTTGATCGAGGTTCTGTATCCACCATTCGAACAGTCCTTCATTGCAATCTTTGATCAAGTTTTTTGCTTTCATCCACGTCCAGAGAGATTGGCTACAGTGCCATGGGCTGTAAACTTCTTGACAATGTTGCGCAAAGTGTTTAATTACAAATTACAGGAGCATCACAAACTTACAATGCAAATATTTCTTACAATTTTCAGAAGGCGCCAATAATTTTGTCAAGTCCATTTTTTGGGGGTTTTGTGTGGAATGCGTCAGATTTGGCTTTTTGTTTCTCCACTTTTTGGTGTTCTACCAATACAAACAAAAGAAATAAACATGAGAATGCCTAAACATTTGTAATTGCAACAATTTTCTGAGCAAAATGGTGCATTATCTGGCAGAAATTTAGGGGTGCCAATATTTTTGGCCACAACTGTATATCCAAAGTACCAGTTTCAAAGCTTCAAAGATTATGGCAACATAAATATTTTTCATGCAGCCAAGATGCAACTGTTTTAGATTAAGGACCTGACGATGACGTCTAATATTAATACAAAAACATCTATAAGTTTCTCCATACATTGTCTTTTTAATAAATCACTCAGTTTACTCACTGAAAGCACCAAAATTTGGACATTTAAGCTAAATGGAAAGCTATTGGTCTCAACCTGTAAATCATTAAGGTTTTTATGGTAGAATTACACTTTTTCACTTTTCATACTGTTAGCCTTCTCTGTTCCCAAGGGTCCAAATTCCATAAAATGTTTAATACATGCATTAATTCATTAAAAATACATAAAATATACATTTAAATTGTGCCTTTGATTTGTACTGCCACCTTTAATCCCCTGTACATGTGCCAGGAAAGATTTACTGCATTGCACAGTACTGTGAATCTATGAACAGTATTTTGAGCTGCTGCTGCTTACAAAAATGTCCTTGTTTAGCTGCAGTGCTTTGCTGCTGTGCAGAAATAAATGGTTAAGAACATGTAGAATGGTTGACAGGGGTTTCTGGTTTAAATTACTAGGAGGGGGAGGCTGGCTACAAATAGGTTATGCATTACTATATACAGAAAGCCCAATAATTTGGGATAGTTTTGAGTTAAGGGCTACACATTTTAGAAGTGTCTTGAAATGTCAGTGCGGCTTTACATCTTTACAAATATTTGCAACAAAAGCTTTTTTTAGCTTGAACAGTTTTTTTTTTTTCCCAGCCAGCTGTAAAGTGTGCCAGGTAACTTTTTGTATTGTTTTGTTATATTGTCCAGCTCTTTTCCTTTTTTGCTAGTTGTAAGTTGATTAGAGTGGCCATCATTGTTCCTTGTTGAATTCAAATACAGGCTTAATTATACATTTATTTATTTTTTAATTCGTAAGATGGGCCATGTGTACTTCAGCTTTGTCCTTGGCTTTTTGCATTCACAGTCATTTAAAAGTTTATTTCTCATTAGATTTATCTTCATCACGGCTGGAAAAGGCCAAAGAAGTGGGAGCAGATTTTATTCTTCAAGTCACCAATGAGACTCCTGAGCAGACTGCACGGAAAGTTGAAGAATTGCTTGGGTGTATGCCAGAGATCACCATAGAGTGCACTGGAGCTGAATCCTGCATTCAAACAGGAATCTATGTAAGTAAATCACACACTAAAAAGTTAACTTTTGTAACTAATTGTTTTCTGGAACAAAGTTATTGAATATTCTGCATTTTGAACTTTCATTATTAACCTAAAAAGTTATATTTTAAACCTTTAAAACTGTGTTTTTTGTTGTGTTTAATTATATGATTTAAACAGGGGTAAGTAACAGTTGGTAGGCTCCAAGCAAAAGTTCTCTTTCACAGATGCAGTTGTTCCCTACTCTATCTGCCACTATAAACATGTCTCCTGCAATTCCACTTATTCCATTTAAAGTAAACCTCAACCCCTGCCAGATGACATTTAAGAGTCTACTTATATCGGATTTACCCAACATTCAACCTTCCTTCACTGGGGCCATTGCCAGGTGAGAAATACATTTGCTGACATTCAGTAGTATCTATTCTTGCAATGGAAAAAGGCGTTTATTGTAACACTCGTTCTGTTTATACAAGTGTGAATGTTACATCCCCACATATTCCCCTGACAGTTACTAAAAACAGCATTAAGGAGGGGATGACCACGTATGTGTCCTCCATGTGGGCAAGGTAGGTTGCAAATAAGACCCTTGCCAACACTCACTCTTGGGCACTGGGGTCGCCAAAGAACTCTGCTCCCATCAGCATCATACTCTATTGCTTTGGGAGTGGTAACCCTGGTTTAGAAAGTCCTAAAAAAGACTTTATGCAACACACTTCCTTTGAGCCCAGGTCAGCCTGGAGCTTCTGCCTGTGACTGGACAGTGGGAGAGAGAAGCAGCACAGCCATAAGCCTATCTCCTTGTCATTTTGCTTTATCTTCCTATCAGCATGCTTCTTGTCAGCAAGTGAAATGATTGGCTCCTTGTACTTCTTTTTCCTCTTACATTTCAGTTTTGCTGTACATGTCAAATTAAGGTGCCTACACTACCTGCATTTAAATAATATGTCATAAAGTGGTTTTAAAGGCTCACTGTTTTTACCTTCATGCATTCTATGCATGAAGGTAACAAACTTTCTGTGTGCAGCAGCCCCCCAACCCCCAAGCCTTCTTAATACATAGCTGAGCCCCATTGGGATCCAGCAATGTGAATAAGAGCCTCACCTCTCCATAGACTCTCCCTTCTCATTGGCTGAGACAGCAGCAGGAGCCACGGTTCCGTGTGTGAATGCACACATGGAGCAGTGGCTTGGGAGTGAGCCTGCTTGGGTGCTCCCATAGCAAGCTGCTTGCTCTAGGGGCTTTTGGCAGGAGGGAGGGGGCCAGGAGCGCCAGCAGGGGGCCCAAAAAGAGGAGGATCAGGGCTGCTGTGTGCAAAACCAATGCACAGAGCAGGTATGAGATGTGTTGTTTTTTTTTTTAATTGCCTTTAATATCACTTTAAGGTGGAATTAAACCCACCAATTGATAAATATTATAGTTACTAGTGTGCTTATATTCGCTCTCAACTGAACTGTCAAACAATCAAATGGCTGGTGTCATTGCTGATCACATGTGCAGTAACTGCAGATCAAACAGAGGCAAATATGGCCGTTTCCTTGGAGGGTTTCGTTCTGCTTTAACTGTTTATTAAGAGACAAAGGATAGAAGGAATTCTAAGACATAAACTATACTGCCACCTACAGGAGAAATGGACACTGGCAATAAAAAAAACTGTTAGTATAACCCCTTCCACTTCCTTCACTTTCTTGCTAGTGTCCTAGGAGAAGAGACATCTTCTCGTCTCAGAAAAAAGCAACAATTATTTTTTTCATTTTTATGAAGACCTTCTTTCTTTAATCAAGGTTCCGTAGAGTGCTGTAAAGGTCTAGGGCCGTGATACACCCTGTGACATAATCCACCCCCAGAAGGCTCCCTAGTGATTATGCCCATTAGAGGGGCAAAGGTCTGTCTGCAATGGGCTTTGTCTACTACAGCTACTGCAATTAGCTTTTGTCCCCCCCCCCCCCCCCAAGTGTTTTGTTGAACAATACCCAATGGGGGAGGCATTTATTCAGAAGTGGGTTGTTCTTTTTTGGGGGACCCAGCCATTCCTTGCCTTTACAAAACACTGACTGTTCTTGTCGTGAACATTCTAGTTTTTAGGGATTCAGTGTACGACAGACTTAAAACTCTTTCCAAGTCTTTATACTCCCTGACAGACCCTGCCCTGCAACCATCCATTGCTGTCATATCTCTTTGGAAACAGCTGGAAGTTGTGCCTGTTGTACATTACTGCATGGATATTGTACATCTCATATCCATTATGTGTCATTTGTCCATGCATGCACAGGGGACTCTTTGGCTTAAATGTTGGTCTACCAAACACCAGTGCCAAAAAACATATTGCCTATGACTTTTGAGGAGGGATGCCTCTCTTGGCACCTTTATCAAGGATATGATAATTTTTCCCATTGAAATCTGATTTGTTTTCAAAGTATTCCTTTAAATTTTTTTGAGCAGTGTATTAATGATTACAGATAGCATTATTTGTGTCTTTTATATCTGCCTAGAGTTTGTATATTTGCCATATTTTTTTTTAAATTGCCATGCATTTTACCTTCAGACATTACCATTTTCTCATTTTGTTTACATCATATTTTGCATCTCAGAACTGTTCATCTCCTCTTTAAAAGTAGAACTATAGGTAAAACTTTTTTTTTTTTTCATTTTGGATAGTGTAAGGGAGAGTTATAACTTCAGTCAGAATGTTTTGCGCCATCTGTAGCCAAACAGGAAGTGAGAAGAAATCCCTGGAATTCCTTGGGGACCCATAGGTCACCAGAACTAGTGTATCCATTGAAAAATTTGCCCTCCCAAAAATTTGGGATTTTCTTTCTTTTTACTTTCACTTTCAATGATAACAGTAAACAGGACAAATAGAGAAGGTGAATCTCTCTAACGGGTACAGACCACAAAAAAAGACTGACAGGTGTCTTAATCTCTCTCCACTGTGTTTAAAACTAAGAAAGTTTTGCCTTTTTTATACTTAACCATTTCCTATCTACATTCATATATACATTTCTAAGTGATATATTATACTCTAGCAGTATAACCCAGTGATTCGTAGCTCTTTATTTTTTTCTTTTACAAACTTTAAGAAAGTGGTTATAACATCCCAAGTCAACATTGCCATTGGTAGACTCTTTTCTTAACCCCTTGACGCCGACGTAAACACAAATATGCGGCCTCAAAGAACTGGGCCTTTTTCCGTGGGGCCGCATATTTGTGTACCTGTCTTTGTGCTGGGAGCACGCCGCACTGCGCGCTCCCAGCACAAAGACCGGGGTGTCACTGAGAGCCCCGTGTCCCGTTCTAACGATCGGGACCCAGGACTCCCGATTCCAGGTCACATGATCGCTGTGATAGTCTCTGATTGGCTATCACAGTGATCAGTCACTGTACAGCCCTGCCCCCTTGTTTTTTTCTCTCTCTATGAATGGAGGAGAGAGATGCATTGTATCTCTCTAAAGGCATTTTGGTCTGAATTTGTGGACTGGTGTGAGTTCTTATGAGCTAAACTGGCTGTTCTTTTGCAGCCACTTTAGGCCATAAACATTTTATACTTGGGGCTAACAATAGTTTTGGTGGTAATTGCTAAATTAAAATAATGTAAGGGGCTTGGCAGTTTGGTCATGCACATATATGTGGGCAGGAGTTTGTGTACCAGGGCTTATTTTCACTTCAAATCCAGCCCCGATTGCACATTTAGTCTTGATATTTAGCGCATGATCATTATTGAGCCAGTGTTTGTAAGGCTTTAGGATAAACATGACATATCAACTTCTTGCTTTACTGCATTATTGTGTGATGCTTGGTTATCACTTTTTTGGAACATATTTCTGGTTCTATTGAAGAAAATACACCTTTGCCAGTTAAACAGCGACTAATACAAATGTATTGAATAATATAATAAATTGAAAAGAGACATGTAATAAATCTTTAACAAGTGGTTAGCAAAGTAGGTAGTGATGCCAATGCTTTAGTGTTTGCTGCAATTTTCTACCTCATTATAAGAATTTGTATAACTATAAGGTTATGCCTAGGTTTCATTTAAAGCTGAACTGCACCCTAAAGGGAATATTGTTGCACGATGTACAAATGTGTCACATGTCTGATGAAGGAGTTCTGCATGGCTCTGAAGCATTGCTCTATGTCATCTGTAATGTGATTATTCTCCAATAAAGATTTAGACTTTATTTGCCATTTTTAATCAGACACAACTATGTCCACTTTACCATTTTAGTTACCAGTATTAATTTCTTAGCAATTTCTTCCTCACAGACAGATGATTATATTACGCTGGCCAAACAAACATCCGCCTCTAATGCAGAGGTACCTAAAAAAAAAAAAAATCTATTCAGTTCACAGTATATATCCAGTCAGGTAGGCCATCATACAGCATAATTGTTACCAAATTTTGCTGATCTAACAAATCAGCTCAAAGAAGAATCGTACAGCCTTAGAGGTTAGGCTTTTTCAAGATTTAGGGGACGTGCTCTAAGGATTTTTTCAAATAAAAATGCCTGAAATTATTGGAGCAATTGTACACAACTAAGCATCAAGTTCCTCTTAAGAAATTCAGAAGAGTTTGCAATGGTATTATTAACTTCCATCCATTGTAAAATCAGATATGAATAAGAAGCATAGAAGAGTGATGGGGAAAAAAAAGACCAAGTGGGCCATCAATTTTTTAAGTATATGTGATTTTGATTTATTTTTTTTTTATGTTTTGTTTTGTTTTGTTTTGTTTTTTTTTTTTTTTTACTTTTTGTGTATAGATCTATGTTTGTCCCAATTATGTTTGAATCAACTTACTGTTGACTGACTCACTACCTCTGCTGGAAGTCTATTCCAAGTGGCAACTTTCCTCCTGCTATCTAAAGGTATAAGTTCACCCTTCATAACATGTTGCATGTTACACCCATATTCAGGATGTAACATGTTACAACTGGGCTGAATGAACCCATATTCAGGGTGTAACATGTTATGAATGGACCGCACCCCCCCCCCCCATTCCTATGCCCATTTGTGCT